CAGGGCAGAGCCAGATGCAGCTGCGGGTATGTTTCCATCTTGTTATCTTGTTATTTGTTTGGTATTGTAAATCTGTCTGCATTGTTCCGCATGTTTCGTAGTATGATTGAGGATCTTAGTAGTTAGGAGTTGTAGTTAGCGTTCAGGAGGACTCTTGGTCGAAAGATAAGGTATATGATCTCGTTGCTAGGAATAGCAACTGCGATGCGAGAAGTGTTCAGTTGAGATTCGAACTTCCCTGGAGTTCGGGTGTGCGATGGCGGAAGGGTTATTCGGCGAAGGTTACTCACTCCCGAGGGAGTCAGTTCATAGTTAAGAGGGAATATATAGAGTAAGGGCGATTGATCTATGCCGGTTTTGGGCATCAGTGGTTAGTAGTCGGTGCGCTAAGTGGGGGAGAATGGGAAAATTCTCCGGTGAAACAACATGCATCCAAGGATGGTTAGCTGGTTGGATTTCAGCAGTGTTTTGCTGAGAGTGTGGATCGGTGAGAGCAAGTGGTAGACAAGTGGGTGGAGCACAGACCATGGTTTTCGGAAAAGGTGACTGATTGTTGTAAGGCCTAGGGTTAGGCCGGGAATTGAGTATATGGAATGAAGCTGGAGTTCGGAACCCCAAGAGGGCTAGAACAGTATGCATGGGAGAGATTCCCAGGAAGAATGGTTCAGGATGGTGTACAACAGTTTTGAGCGGTCCGGATACACTGAAGGCCGGAAGGTGTACCAGTCAGACCGAAGGCTCGGGGGGAACGGCCCAAATAGGCTGAAGGCCCAGGAGGGTGGTCCAAACATTCTGAAGGTTTTGAGAGTGGTCCAGATAGGCTGAAGGTCTGGCAAGGCGGTCCAGTCATGCTGAAGACTCTGGATGTGTTAGTAGATATGTATGCGGAGAATGAGTGAATATGTCGCCATGCAATAGTAATCGATATGGTCTGGCCCCAAGTATTGATCATGACGATGGAGTTGGCTGGAGGCCGTGCGTGGGCCTTGTTAGTTATGTGATCGGATTCGGGGTATATGGGAGTTCGAGAATAACAGTTGCTCTACATGGATAGTGTAGAGTGGAGTTTAGCTCAGTGACACTTATAGGTGTGGTAAGGGTTGTTGAGTAGACTTCCTGGAAAGGAAAGGTATGTAGCCCCGGAAGGAGTGGGGGTCCTCTTAAAGGAAGACAGTGGAGTAAATGGATGATCGAAAGTGCTTGGTAGTAAGCACTGGGATTGTACCAGATGTATGGAAGCACATACGGGTTGGATGCCCGTTGAGGTTGTGGAGCGGTTAACACTGACGCGGGGTCAGGGTTGCTCGGAAGCTGTGAAATGTTCCATCGTGTCAGCACGATAAGGGATTTAATCCAGGGAGGAAACGGGATGAGTTTCCACTGGTGCAAGTTAATAGAGGTGGCGCCAGTTGGGCGAAAAATAGCGAGTTAATACTGGGTCAAGACCCGGTGGTTCAGAATGGTATCCAATTTTCGCAGGTGGCGAATGAATGTGTAAGACGGAAGTGAGGTAGTGTCTTCAGGTGACACTTAGTTGATGAGTGTTGTCATCAGAGAAAAGAAGCTGGTGGCCGGCTTGGAGCAGTTGATCAGGACCTTGCAAGGGAAGAGATGGATTTTAGGGATTCGATAACTGTGTGGAAGGAATCTGGGTCGGTCTGAGATCAATGGATGCATTGAGGGGGAATCATTCAGAAGTTTGTGTTGCAGTAGGCTTCGAGGACGAAGCCTAATTTAAGTGGGGGAGAGTTGTAACACCCCAAATTCCAGAGGTGCTATTGAAGGACTTAAAGTATAAACTAAGGAAAGGGACTCGACGAGTAGGCATGCTTACTCGCCGAGTCGGAGCGGGAATCTGTCGCGGGTTAAGTGGCCAACTCGCCGAGTCGGCGGCTTGGACTCGACGAGTTGGTGCTGAAGAGAGAAAACCCTAATTCTGGGGGTTGTGCCCTATATAAAGCACATTATAACCCACCCTCAGCCTCTTTGCTACCCTTTTGAGATCCAGAAACCCTAATTTTCGTGTGAGACTCCATTGTGGAGGAGATTGGAGCTTGGAAGAGGAATGTGGTGGAAGGAGCTTGAGAAATTAGAGGCTAGCATCAAGGGGCTTGTGTAGATCTGGAATCTACATCAGTTTGGGCACATCTCAGAGGTAAGGAGCCATTATCTTAAGCTATTTCCTTTTTGGTTCATCCTTTGTGGTTGATTTGGAGTTCCTTGGCTTGTTTTGAGATCTATTTCGAGTTAGAGGCTTAGATCTGAGGTTGCTACTTCAGAGTGATTTGGGCTTATATCTCCTTGGTTTCACGTAAAGTTTGCAACTTTATGTGAGGGTTAGGCTGTAGAAGAGTGGATCTATGGATTGGAGCCCCTGCATGGCTCGAAAAGCCTCTGTATGGATTGAGAACTGAAGAGACTCGGCGAGTGACATGGGTGTACTCGACGAGTTGTATGAACATGTGCTTGGACTCGGCGAGTTGGAAGAACAACTCGGCGAGTCTGTTGAAGATTGCCTTGGACTCGGCGAGTCTGTTCTTGGACTCGGCGAGTCTGGTTCCAGAACCCAACCTCTTTTGGTTAAAGCTTTGGATTAGTGAGTCGGTTGGCGACTCAGTGAGTTGGACAGGATGGGATTCCGAGATCGTTGAACTCGACGAGTCTTGGGGCGACTCGGCGAGTTGAGTCGTGTTATGGGAGCTTCTGAGTATAGGAACTCGACGAGTCGACGGGTCGACTCGGCGAGTAGAATCAACCAGGAAGGTTGACTTTGACTGAGGACTTTGACTTTGACCAAGAGTTGACCAGTTTGACTTCCAAGGGTATTTTGGTAATTTTGGTATTTATGGAATTGGTTCTTTGGTAGTGTTCTGTGGTGAAGTTCGTGTCGGTGGTCGGAGCAGCTTGATCTTATCTCTTCAGTCGGCAATTGCAGGTGAGTTATCCTCACTATATCGACAGGGTCTACGGCACCAAGGCCGGCCCTTTATCGGATGGAAATCCGGGTATTGTTTGTTATGATATTGCTTTGCTAGATTTGCATTCTGGTATTTAGGGTGGTGTTATGATTAGTGACCTGGTTAAGGTCGGTACCCGGTATATAGGGTAATGTTATGTTAGTGACCTGGTTAAGGTCGGTACCTGGTATATAGGGTAATGTTATGCTAGTGACCGGATAGGTCGGAATCCTGGTTAGGATGTTGATATGCTATGTGATCTGTTAGACTGTTTGTCTGGTTAAGGATTTGTTATGTGATTATTGTTTTATGTGCACATGGTTGTTTGACGGGGGTTGGGTTGAGGCGGGTCCTGCTTTGTGCTGTAGGCCAACATACCCAGGGCGGACCGGATATTCCGAAGGCCCGGCGAGCAGTCCGGATAGGGTGAAGGCCCCAAGAGGGCGGACCAGACGTGCCGAGGCTCGGAGAGTGGACCAGGCCGACTGAAGGCCCGGTGCGGGCGGACCAGTCATACTGTAGACTCAGAGAGTTGACCAGGTGAATTGAAGGCCCGGTGTGGGCGGACCAATCACACTGTAGACTCGATGTAAATGGCTAGACTCGGAGGGTGGACCAGGTGGACTGAAGGCCCGGTGCGGGCGGACCAGTCACACAGTAGACCCGATGTGCGTGGCTGTTCTGTATTGTGATATGATATGAGTATGGTTATATGTGGTTGGTATTTTGGGGGTAACTCACTAAGCTTTCGGGCTTACAGTTTTAGTGTATTGTTTCAGGTACTTCAAGAGACCGTGGCAAGGCGAAGGCGTGATCGTACCGCTCCTCATGTTTTTTGATTTATGTAATATGATTCTGGGGGATACTCTGATGTTTAAACTATTTTGAAAACAAGATGTATGAACTTAATGGTTTTTGAATGAAATCAAATGTTTTAATTTGGCTCAAATTTTATGGGTGTTACAGACTTATTAAATCAATACTTTAAGTTGGGGGTTTGTTAGAAGCAGTTATATTGCGTTGTTAGAAGGTGGTCTAACTATAATTAGTTAACTTAACTAGTATTAGTTAGTTGTTAGATAAGTGGTTAATTAGTCCGAGTTTGTATATAAGCTTTGTACTAGTATTCATTTTCAAGATTGAATATAATGAACAATCTTGTTCTTCTCTCTTTGATTTCACTATAATACACTTTTGTCGTCCGAAAACTTCAGGATTAGGCTACCATTATACAAGTGTGTAGTACTCCTATTTTTGAACACACCGTCGACATAGCAAAAACGTTATTGATAAATGGTAGGATTTGTGGACTGAAAAAGCCTCAAATTCAAACGGGCATACATTTCGATTCATCAGGAATTTTGAGGCCTGCCTCATGTGGATGGAAAGGTCCCAACGTGCATGAGTTCCCAACAACCCGCCGTCATCACCAAATTTTGATGGTTAGACCATGAATTTTCAGTTCCGCAATTCCGGCTCATTTTAATCGTAGATTTCTTATAGTTTAATGATAGAATGTGTGATTTTCTTGATTTTTGTTTTTTGTAGGATTGTTTTCGAGGTGATTTAGAAAATTAATTGTCAATATTGATATTTTTAAATTTGACAATACTTGCCGTAATTAGCCGCACTGTATATAAATGAGAATCACATAAACTTTATTATTCATACATCTTCAAATTAATAAAAACTCTACCTTTAATTAGGATTTGTTGAATACCTTTGTTACTTCGATTCAGTATCAACCCCAACACCACGTAATTATCAACTCGCACTAATTAATAAGATATTTGTCAAAGTCTGCTCTATCACCCATATAAATTTCAATAACTCTAAAAAAAATAAGTAATACAAAAATCAACAACATCTAAAATATTTGAATAAAAGATTATCTTAAAGTATTCCTTAATGTTACCTGCACACATATCGAAAAAAGTATAAGAAATATATGACAGAAAACTGGGAAAGGAAAATTAATCAGCAGCTTCGCATGATCCAACTTGTTTGTTCTCCAAATTATATTTTGAAAGTAACGTACATGCGTTAATGTGTATCAACTGAATTCAAAATCCCAATATTTTCGGCTTCAACGTTCAAATCCAACATGGCAGATGCGCTGTCGTTTTGGTTTTGCCTCATAGGAGGGCATGGTCTTGAAACAGACGTGAAGCTTTCACAAGTAAGAACAACAATGGCATCCTTGAGATGAACTGATGTGCCACAAGTTAATGAGATTGTCCCACTCTCGATTGCTTTCTTTTGTGACTGGTTATCAACTTGGTCCACGTCTTCCATGAAGAAAACACGACTAGCGTTTTCTTGCACGGCATCTGCAAACCTTTCTATATAACTCTGTCCATGTTCGCTTCTTGGCCTTTTGTTACTAATTAATTCTTGATCATCATCTTTTGAGTTGGATTTTGCTGATGAGAAGCTTGTTGAAGTCGTGGAGGAAAGAGAAGAATGGTGGAATGTTTTGTTAAGAAAATGAGGCTGTTTGTGAAGTGAACTGCAACTTGTGTTCCATTTCTTGCAAAAGCTTCCAACTTTGACATGTTTCTGTAACCAGAGACATTAATTATTTTTGAGTGTTGGAAGATTTAGACGTCAAATTAGCAGGGAAAAAGGTTACGGAAACTTATCTAATGTAATTAACAAAAACCAACCGGATCATTGACGGCTTGCGTCGAGTTCTTCCCCTTGTGTTGTTGGAGCCATAATGATAAACCGGAGGTTGTAGTAGCAGTAATAGACTCATTGTTATGAGCACAGCTTGCTATGCTTCGAGCTTCTCTTGTGAAGTTGATCGAACACTCTTTGCTCTCATTTGGTGAATCTCTGCTAAAATAACAATACCAACTTCATTAATTAGCTTCTGTAATGTGAGAAACTAATTTTATATCCCACTTAAGTTATAAAAAAGTGAAAACAAAAGGATGGAAATGCTGTAATTATCAAATTAAGGACTAGCTTTTTCTGAGTTTGATCGAGTACCTATTAAGATTGAGGTTAAGGTCCAAGTCACCAACAGGAGTTGTATGCGCAACAAGATCCCATAGAGTCTCAAGGGAGGGATGACCAGTTTTGCAGCTCATGTAAGTTTCGGAATTGGCTATTCCCATAAGCCACAACTTCCCACTATCCCGAAAACCACACATCAGCCTTCTAAGTTCCATGATCATTTGCTCCATTGGGGAGTAGTAGTAGGTTTTTTGCCTTTCCTCACAGTATTTAGACCAATAATCAGAAACCCACTTGATATCACCCACATATAGGACCACTCCTCTCTCCACATTGCTTCTTATTAGATAATTAAGCTCCGTAACCTTATCCTCAACTTCTTTCATAGAAAGATGACTTAATGACTGCAAAGGAAGACTTACAAACTGTACGAACCTCAAATTACCAGGAAAAGCTATATTCTTTCCTCTCTCAATCTTGTCTATAACTCCTGTAACTATGTCATAAGCACTAACCAAACACTCCCTTATGACAATAACGTTTTTCCTTTTCGTATGCATCATCGTATCTATAACACTCATCACATCCTCAATTCGGACACTGGGTGTGAGTTTTGATCCATTACTACTACTAGCTTGGAAGTTTTGTGTTATGGGTTTACTATTTTGGTTGGATTGGATAGAATACACAATAGGCCTTTGGGAAAAGATCTCCATGGAGACACCATGTTCAATACTGTTTTTGATTTGGGTACTAGAAAATCCCGCTTCTCTCATGACTCGACTTACACTAGGGTCATCTAGTATTGATATGGTGAGCTGCTCTACCTCTACTTTAAGAGCTAAAACGGGTTGTTGCTGGTTCTCAAGTGAACCACGTCGTTGTAGAGCTAGAGCACGCTTGAAGGCTGCCACCAAAGCATTGGAGAGAGAGGGGTGGGGAGATTGATTTGTACTTAATATGATAGGACTGGATTGAGAAGTAGCGAGGCGATTGAGGGCTAAGTTGAAGCAAAGCTCGAGAGCGTTGCATTGAAGGGGGTGAGAGTTAACTTTGAGGCAAGCCTTCCTAAGAAGACCTCTTGGAGATGTGAGCATGGCACTTGCTACATGGAGAGGTGTGACATGAGCATGGCCTCTCCGTCTACAGAGGCCAAGGGCTTGTTTTACAATCATAGCGGCTTTTGTTGTTAGGGTATGTTGGACTGCGTATCTTTCGGCCCTCATCCTTACTTAGTATTTAAATTTCTATAAACCCAGATAGAGATCCAGAAAATACTTGTATCAATGTATGGTTGTATTTTTCAGGTAGGCTATGGTTCTGGAAGCGAGTATACTGCAAATGCAGCGGTCTGATGTCAGTGATGTGGTAGAATGTAGAACTAAATAAGTAGTGGGCTGATAGGAGGGAGAGGAGAACAACGCTTTTCATTTTGTTTTTAATGTATGTATATATATATATATATTATATATATATATATATATATATATATATATATATATATATATATATATATATATAGGATTAGGTTATTCTATTCTAACTAATTATTGTGCGGACGTATGGACAATGCTATTTTTTTTAGAATGATAAAGAAAATATGTTGTTTGATAATATAAATACGTTCAATCTTACATAACTATTGTCATTAACACACATTCTTACTAATTAAGTCGTCTATAAGGTTATTATACACTTATTATTATTATTCTTATTTCTGTCAGAATGTTGTCAGAATGTTCATTGAGTTGTATTCTTGCAGAATGAAAATGAGTGAAAAACGATGTGTGAGAACAAAAATAAATAATAATTAGCGACAATGCATTAAAATGACGATATTTTTATAAGGTTGAACGTATTCGCATTGCTAAACAACTTATTCTCTTAGTAATTCTCATAGAATAATATTGTCCACATATACGCACAATAACTAGTTAGAATAATTGAACCTAGCTCTCTCTCTCTCTCTATATATATATATATATATATATATATATATATATATATATATATATATATATATATATATATATATATATATATATATAAACATGTACCATATAATTATATAAATTTCAACATAAGGGTATTTTTGCTAAATGACCTATATTAAAAAAAGAAATTTTCAGATTTTAGGTGATATGTAGATCTCTTACTTTTAAAAATCTGATTTTTTTTAAAATTCATTCAAATTTAATTATAATATAGTTTTTAATAATAACCGATTTTATTATATCAAAATGACAAAGTCAACCATAAATTAGTAAAGATATTTACGATTTTATTCTTGCGGAATATGGTTATATTCAAGATATTTTTTTTTATAATTAACATGTTTAAAGAATTGTACAACATATTATCAATAATTACATTTTCTAATGAATACAAATTTTATTCTTAAAGAATATTCATATATTATTAACTTTGTTCAAGAATCAGAGTCCAAAAAAAAAACAAAAAAAAACACATTATAATCACATTCTATAAGAATACATTGTTTTAGAGTTAGTAATTCTTATAATCTCCATTCGACAACTATTGTTCATCTCCGTCTCACACTCCATGTCCCGATGACCATTGTTCATCTCCATCACACACCATCATCCAACCTTCAAGCCTTTGATCATCATGTTCCCTTCACGCATTCTATGAGAAATTTGCCATGAAATCAAACATTCTATGAGAATAACTGCCATAAAATCGAATTATGTAAGAATAACATTCTGTGAGAATACTTTTATATGACAAATAGTAAAACAAACTTTGGTAGTTTTGATAGAATAAATATGGTCTATTCTAAAAGAATATATGAATTATTTCAAAAAAATGCACATCAATACTTTGATTCTTTAAATTTTGTTACAAAACTTATTTGGATTCTTTATTTTTAATTTTTTGTAAAAACAAAAAGCTTCCCTTTTTGTTGCTTATATGAATTGAGAATATAGATTAGCTATATAACAAAGAAAGAATTGATCCTACATATACTTATTGTTTTTTGTTAGCTAGAGCAAAAACAAATGCTTAATATCAAGTATTCTAATAAAATGTAATCTTGAGTCACTTGGTCAACTAATCCTCGAGTCGCTTGATCCAAATAATCGACTTAATCTAATTATAGTGATTCTAGATACTACGTTGTAGCTAACACAGAGGACAATACGTTGGAAAAAATTCAGCTTATTACAAGCTAGTATGTGGGAGATATTGCAGTTCAACGATCACAAAAATTTCTAAACAAAGTAAAAGTGCTAAAAATACAGCTATAACATCCCATGTTCAAAGGACTGTAACTGGGCCACTATTAATCCAATTAAAATGACTTCAGAACCTAATTTGTAGCTAATAGAAAGGAGAATATGCAGAAAAAAATTTCAAATCAATCCAAGCTAGTACGAGAGAGATATGACAGTTTAAAGGTTACAAAAAAAATTTGGCCGAAATGTTTTATTCAAGTATTTTAGCAAACACTTGGCGGGAAAAATCAGATGCTCGGATCTTTATACTCAGTTTGATAAAACATACTACATATGTAGTTGATAAGTACGTGAATGTGACTAAATTTACAATAAAAGAGTGTATACCTTCAAATACTAACGAGTAATTTGAGATTTTGTTCCATAAAATCGAGATTCCGTTCTGATAGAATTAGATCTTGATCTTCAATTCTGGGAGAGTTGCTGTCAGATACCCCCATTAATTGAGACTATATCACATAGGTGGAACATTAATCGAAACTCAAGGAAGAAGGGTGGGATGCGTTCTTTGAGTTCTTGTGTCTTGACATTTCTTACTCCTCTGTATAAATGTATCTATTCACTGATCATTAACTGAAATACAAAAATAAGAATTTTAGAAATTTACAACTTTCCAGAAATTAGTTAAAAAGAGAACGAGTGTAGGATTACTCTTTCCGGTTTCCACAAGCCGCAACAATCCAAGCACGAACGAATCCAATTGCTTGCAAGAATATCAAGATTCCAAATAGATGAATCAATTTCTGATTTTTGGTGTCATTGTGGTTGCGTTTTCACAGCCTTATGCCCTTCTTTTTGTTATTGTTTCACTCAGCCTAAAGTATACGTGGATGCCTGGGCCGACCATGAATCTCAATAGAGAGGATAAGATAGAGATGATAAGATGGAAGAGGGCGTCGGCAATGGTTGTTGTAGGCGACGATGAAGTGTGGAACGAAGGTTTCAAAAACCTGAAGAAGATATAACAGAGATGCTAGGTCAAATATATTTATTCTCTTTCCTTAATTGCAGGAATTCCATTAAATGACCCTATTAATTTAAAAGTACAAAATGTCTAAAATACCCTTATTGATTTAATAAATAATTTAATTTTTACTAATTTGTGATTAGTCCATTTGTACACACAATAGTTGCAGGAAACATTTGAACCTAGCTCTCTCTCTCTCTCTCTCTCTATATATATATATATATATATATATATATATATATATATATATATATATATATATATATATATATATATATATATATATGAACATTTAGTAGCAGAGCCATAAATTTTTATATGGGGGTACAAACATTATCAATAAATATTCTATGTAGTTATCATATCTGGGGCATTAAAAACATCATATTATCCCTTTAGCTGGGGGTACAACAACATAAAATATGTTTAAAAATAACTTTTTTTATATACATAAAACAATTTTTTGGGGATGCTGTAGTACCCCCAACGCCCCACGTAGCTCCGCCACTGTAAACAGTGGTGGTGGACTTATGAAACAACCACATGGGGTGTTTCTTGGTGGTGGCAGCAGCGGCTCTTGCCACCCTCGGTGGTGTTGGTGTTTCTCGGCAGTGAAGAAGAAGACAGTAGGGGTAGTGGTTGCTGGTTGGCGATCCAAGAAACGAAAAGGGATGAGTTTGATCAATGAAAAAGTGGAGGAGGAGGAGGGTGGTGCTGCGGTGGTTTTACGGTGGACGAAGGTGCCACCGTTGGTGGGTTTTTGTGACATCCCCATTTTCACGGCCAGAAAAGATCGATTTGTTTATGATTTGTTTGAAAATCAGAGTAACATTTTTAAAGAAAAGTGTTGCGGAATTTGTTCCCAAAAGATAAATGTGATAAGGATTTATCAAAGCATTTCCAAATAAATGTATTTCATTATATTAAAACCTCTGGATGTCATGTTCGATACAGATCAAAAGCATAAACAGAACAACATAGGCCTTACAACCTTTATTTATATCTACTGGCCTATAATCCATAATCCCTCGTCAAGTCATCCAACTATGCTTTTGTACCACTACCTGTAATACAAGAAACTGAGTGGGTCATGCTTGGGAGCCTGGTGAGCACATAGGGTTTTCAACCCACAATAATAAGTTTATTAATTTCATCAACCCAAACAAACCCGATTACCCATTTCCGTTATCCTCACTTTACGTCCCTAAAGCATCTAATATAAGGGACCTAGCCTAAGGATTTTCATCGGGGTGACAAAACTGTTTTGGGGGTACCTCAGCAATTTATGTCAAATAAGGCAACCATGAGGGGAATGGAGTACTTCTGGTGAACACTTAGTTCAAATAAACACCTACAGGTTGCGAGGGTGCTAGCGTTCCATTGGACTGTCTAGAATAGTTTGTGGTCGTCATCTATACTCCGCTAGATGACTGGATCATCGTAGACATCGAGGCCTCTCATCATTTTATCACACATCGTCTATTTCATCTACCCATGTTTTACCCCAACATTTTTGTAGATATAAAATACATATACAGTTTAAATCATTTAAAACTTGTATAAAAATGTTCATCCAACATATATATCAAGTAAACAGATAATATGCACACATAGCACGTAATTTATATAAAATTAGGCGTGACTTCGCACGTTGCGCAAGAATGCATTTAAGAGGTTAAAATAATCATGGGAAAAAATAGTAATATGTTAAAATTTACGTTTTTAGTCATGTTTTGGGCATTAACCGAATTATCAAATAACATAAAAATTCATCAACTTATATTTTGATACTATCTAATATAGTCCATACCTTATAAACTTTACTTTTACTTTTATAATATCCAATATATATTATAAGTTTTTGTATAACATTAATATAATCTACTTTTCTTATGTCCGATAATATTTTTTGGATAAAATAAGAAATAAGTTGTTTTGAATGAGCTATTAATAAACAATATTGAACTAATAAACTTTGTATTACACTATTTATATTACACCA